GTGGGCAGAACTGGCTGAAGCCCCTCCTGACCTCCACGCATGAGGCCACCCTGGCATCTAGCCCCTGTCCTGAAATGACAATGAAGGCCCATCCCTAGGCTTGTCCTGGGCTGGGGGAGGTGAGGAAGCTTGGGAAGGCCCTCCAAGAGCCTGAGACCAGGACTCAGCTCCCAGAGACCACAGCTGTGTCTACTGCCCTGGGCATCCCCAGTGGGGCACACACATGCAGTGTTGAGGACCAGCCATGCCATGCCCCAGGGTCCCTCACACCCCATCTGCCAGGGCTGGGGACAGGGCAACAGGCTGGGGGACATGGAGACACCATAGGCCTAAGCAAAATGAGCTCTGAGGGGCCGGCAGGTAGCATGCTGGTGGTTAAGGGTACTAGACTCCCACACCGCCGACTGCAATTTGAGTCCCAAACCTGGCAGCTTGCTTCTCACTTTCTCTCTCTCTGTCCTCTGGCCCTCTCTGGTCAAATTAAAACAAACAAATAAGTGTTAAGTAAAAATAACTTTTTTTTTCCTTTGGAGAGATTTTTGCTATAGGGTGTGTGCATTCGCCAGAAAGACAGGGAGAGAAAGAAAGTGAGAAATCCCCCCCCAGAGGGGATAGCCACGTAAGAAAGTGAGAAATCACCCCCCAGAGGGGATAGCCACGTCACAATCCCTTCTCCTCCATTCTCCTCTCAGGATCTTGGGCACACACGCACACACGCCTGGCGTGAGTTTAAGCCACTGGGTCCGGGATTTGAACCACAGTCGACTACATGGGAGTCCAGCGACATAGCCATTATGCCAAATGCTAGTCCCAAAATAACTTTTTCTTTTTTAAGAATTATTGTTATTATTTTGTTGTTGTTGTTGTTATAGGCACATGCACTCACCAGAATGACACAGAGACAGAGAGACAGAAAGCGAGAAATTACCCCCCCAGGGAGGATGGCCACGCCGCAATCCCTTCTCTTCTCAGGATCTTGGGCACATACGCACACGTGCCTGGCAGGAGTTTAAGCCATTGCGTCCAGGACTCGAACATGAGAGTCTAGCAACATAGCCATTAAGCCAACTGCTGGTCTGAAGAATTATTTTATTTATTTAATTTTATTCATTGTCTTTTTTTTTTTTTTTATTTTGCGTTTTATTCCGTGTCATTTTTCTTTTGAGGTTGACCAGAGAGAGACAGAGAGAGAAAATGAATGTGAGAAAGCAAGCTGCTAGGTCCAGGACTCAAATAGTGGTCAGCCATGTGGGAGTACAGCTGCCTTATCCACCTAGCTACCTGCCGGCTCCAAAATAACTCTTTAAAAAAATAAAGTGGAGGGCTGTGAGAAAGAGGCCTTAGAAGGGAGCTCTAAGAAAAACAGGCCTGCTGCCCATGGAAGTACTTTGAAAGAGGCTGGTGCACCTGACCGTGGATGGGGGAGGGACTGCCTTATCCCTCACACATCCTTAGAACTGAGCTAACCTGGCACTGGAGGGCATGGGGGGCACCAACCACATGCGTGCTGAGCCTAGGACCCTGGATTCGCCCTACAGGGGCCATCCCAGGCCGCTCCAGGCTGTCCTCTGGGCTCAGGGAAGAAGGAAAGGAGTGGGGTCCGGTGCATGGGGAACTGACAACAGCAGGCAGAGCACATGCCAATGAGCCGGCACTCTAACACGCAAACCCTCAGACTCCAGCCAGCTCGGGGGTCACTGCCTCCTTCCTTTGACCAGGCTGGGTGAGGAGCTCAGGGCAGGCAGACACAGGCAGAGGCCAAGCAGAGCACACACGAGCTGTGATTACCTCTTGTGCTTTGGGGCAGAGTGAAGTGGAAGAAGGTGGGGTTAAGGGAACAGAGGAGCCCTTGTCCTGAGAAGATGCCAGGAACAGGCCCAGGGCCTTAGTCCCCAGCCCCATCTCTGAGGACTCGGAGATGAGCAGCTCGGCCTACAGAGAGGGCACACGGTGAGGGCATGCCCCTCACCCCAGCCCTTCAGCCCACCCCAGGCCTGAAGTGCTGGTGCAGTGAGGCAAGGAGGGGGACACAGCTGAGAAACAGGCGTGGCCCAGCAGGACCTCACCCAGCAGAACACACAGGCTTGGGACAGAATGGCTGACAGGGCCTCAGTGCCCACTTCTGAGCTGAGGGCCCCAGTCCAGACCGAAGCCTAGGGCGTGCCAGCATTGGAACCACTAAATCCCCATGCTCCCCTCCAGGTGGGTCCACCTAGCCCAGTCACCTACCAAACTCTGAGCTGTGCACCCCACCCTGCCCAGGCCCTCTGAGTCCTGCTCAACATAAATCCAGCCACTCAGAAAGGTGAGATCCGTGGGTTCCCAGGAGCCCTTTAAATAGCTGGAAGCCGTGGAGGGTCGAATCCCAGATCTCGGGGCCATTCCTCCTCAGATCTCTCCAGTTCAGGAAGTCTCCCCCATACCCAACCTCAAACGTGGGGGTGAAGTAGCACATGTTGCTCCAGAGCTGACCAGGACACCCCTTGGGCCTGACCCAATGTTGTTACCTCTTTGAGGGTCGATGGGGTCTTCGGGAAAGGCCTGCCCCCTGTGAGTGAGTGGTATCTTCTTTCCAGCATGGTCAGTTTCTCCTTCTCCTGTGAGCCCAGGGTGGCAGAGAGTCAGGCGTGGGATGACAGGGGCCTTATAGAGGGGGACCTCCACTGTAGCCCTCCTGCATCCCTGACCCCAAACCCAACCTGCCCGGGGGAGGGACTACCTTCTGCAGCAGCTGTAGGGAGGCATTCTTGTCCCGGGCCAGGCGCTCTGATTCCTGCACGGCCTGGGCCCGGATTTGCCCAGCTTGACTGTCCAGGACGGCCAGGCGCTCCTGGAGGAGATGGGGGTTGGTTAGGCCCTGAGGAGACAGGGCTGAGCCCAAGGTGCGTGGCTGACTGCCCCAGAGACCCCACGCTTGGCCGAAGAAGTCAGCTGGCTCTTATGCAGGGCCTCAGCTCACCCCAGGGATCCAGGCTGCCACAACCAACTCTTTCGCTCCTCTAACCAGTCAGCCCTGGGCCACCAGACATGGTGATCCACTCCTTTCTTCCTCCCCAACCCCACAGCCATGGGACCTGAGGCCTGGCAACAATGAGCAGTTCTCCACCCGCCTCATTCCCCAGCTCACCCCACCGCCACTTATTTCAGGCACCCTGCTTCCCTAGCCTAGACCTGGTCACAAGCCTCCTGCTTCTACATTCAACTCCACACTGCCACCAAATAGCTTCCTAGACTGGCCTTTGAGATTTGTTTGCCCGTCTCAATCTTTTTTTTTTTTTTTTTAGAGGTTTTTGCCTTAGATTGGATGCACTTGCTAAGGAGGGAGAGAGACAGAGACAATGAAAGGGAAAGTAAGAAATCATCCCCCGGGGGGGGGGGGGGTGGCCATGCTGACATCTCTCCTCCTCCATTCTCTTCCTAGGATCCTGGGCACACAAACACATGTGCCCTGGCGTGATTTTCAAGCCACCAGGTCCAAAAGTCGAACCACGGCCAGCCATGCGGGAGTCCAGCAACGGAACCGCTACAATATCTGCTGGCCCTGTCTTAACTTTCTCATCTTTCTAAAAAGAATAGATATCACTGGAGGGTGGCAGGTGGTGAGGTGGTTAAGGCACTGGACTCCCACATGGCCAACCATGGTTCAAGTCTTTGATTTCAGGTCCTTGTTATTGGTTCAAAAGAAGAAAAAGCCAGGTGGTGTGGTGGCTAAGGGGGCTGGATTCCCCCATGGTCAACTGCAGTTCGAATCCTGGACCTGGTGGCTTTCTCTCTCTGGTCAAAATAAAATAAATAAATAAATAATGTTAAATAAAATAATGCTTTAAAAATAAATAATTATTTTCTTTCTTTTATTTTTAAAAGAGAGAGATGTTTTTGCTATAGGGCACATGCACTCACAGGAGAGACAGAGAGCTAGAAATCACCCCCTACAGGGGAATGGCCACACCGCAATCCCTTCTCCAGTCTCCTCTCGGGATTATAGGCACACACACATGTGCCCAGCATGAGTTTCAAGTTGCTAGGTTTGAGACTCAAAACACGGTTGGCCATGTGGGAGTCCAACAACATAACCATTTTGTCACCTCCAGTCCCTGATTTTGTTCTTTTTTTTTTTTTGGAGAGGTTTTTGCTATAGGGCGCATGTGCTCGCCAGGAAGACTGAGAGAGACAGAAAGCAAGACATCACCCCCCCGGAGGATGGCCACACAGCAATCCCTCCTCCTTTCGGATCTTGGGCATGCACACATACATGCCCAACATGAGTTTAAGCCACAGGGTCTGGGACTCAAATCGCAGGTGGCCACATGGGAGTCCAGCAACATAGCCATTATATCATCTGCTGTTCCCAAATAAATAATTCTTAATTTAAAAAAATGTATATATACATGTATTTATACTTATATACTTATTACTTGAATAATTGTTTAAAAATCCACCAGATCCTTGGGACCAGCAGTTAGTGCAATGGCTATGTCGCTGGACTCCCATGTAGTCGACCACGGTTCGTGTCCCAGATCTGGTGGCTTAAAACTCACGCCGGGCGTGTGTGCGTGCGTGACCAAGATCCCAAGAGGCGAATGGAGGAGAAGGGATTGCGGCGAGGCTATCCCCCCTCAGGGGTGATTTCTCACTTTCTATCTCTCTGTCTCTCTCTGTCTGTCTGGCGAGTGCACGCGCCCTATAGCAAAAACCTCTCCAAAAAATTTTTAAAAAATAAAAAAATAAAATAAAATTTCAGTGGCCCTTCATTACTCACAGCATAAAGCACCTATTCCTTACCCCGCATTCACGGACTCCCAGAAGTGGTCCTACCCTTTGCAACTCCCCTCCCGTTCGGCCCTCAGGGTCCTCTCAGCTCACCATACACTGCACAGCTGAAGACTCCAAGGCCTTTCATCTGCCATTCCCTAAGCCCAGGGGAGCTGTTCCAGTCTTCTTCACACAACCATGGCTTACTCAGCCTTCCAGTCCAGACCAAGCGCTACCTCCTCTCGAAAGCCTTCCTTGATTGCCACTCAACTTTGCTCCCTCCTGTGTCCACGTTCCTCCACATCCTTCCCTGCCTGTACTGCTGTGTGTGAGTACCTCTGTCCCTACCTCCCCAGGCAGGACCGTGACTTCTCACTCTGAACCCCGGCAGGGCTCAGCACAGTGCCTGGCTAAACTCATGTGCTAAAAGGAAATGAGAGGTCCTAAGGGAGAAGGACAATGGGGGATGAGAAAAATGGGCTTCTGACAGAGGAGGCCTTAAAGCAACCCGAAGAGTAAGACATGGGCGAGGCAGGCATGAAGGGAGCAGCCCTCAATCTGGGGTCAGCCCAAGAGAAGACAGGAGCAGGCCAGACAGTGATCCTCACAGCAAGAGTGGCTATGGTGAAGTTCTCAATTTGCTATTCCATTTTACCCCCTTAAGAGGCAGGTGTCTTTACACCCTTTTAATTTTTATTCCCTAGGATTATTGTTATTATTACCAGAGGGCACAATCACTCACCAGAGAGAAAGAAAGAAAAGCATTCCCCAGTGGGGTGTGGTCATACAGCAATCCTTTTCCCCCACCTCTCCTTCCTTACGGGATTTCGGGCGCTGACGCTCAGCATGTCTTTCAAGCTGCCTGGGCCAGGATTCAAACCGTGGCTGGCCATGTGGGACCTGGCTCCAAATGCACAGCACTTAACTAGGGTGCTACGAGGCTGGCCCTGCGCCCATGTTACAGTGGGAACACGGGCCTATCTGGGAGCTAAGGTCTCTTAGCTCGTAAGTAGAAGAGCTAGGACTAGAATGGACCTGCTGAATGCAAGGTCAGTACTTTGACCCTCTTAGAATCAGTGGAGAGAGCAGGGGAGCTGAGGGCACCAGGGCAGGCAGCGCAGGGGTAGGACTCCGGGACCTGGGGCTGAAAATTGGACAATGCTCAGGAGGTCCCTGAGGCCCAGCGCCTGAGCTCAGGTCTCTTGGGAACCAGGGCAGGCTTGGGGAGGAAGAGGAATCCACTACTGCTGACCCTTCCAAAATTCCCTGGAGCTTATACTCTCGAAGACCTCAAAGGGACAGAACTGATCTGAGGCTTCCTGCTACATTCCTTCAGAAGAAACTGGAGAAGCACCAGCCCCCAGCTCCAGAGCGGGGCGGTGGAAGGAACTTGGGCTTTGGGGCCACAATTCTGACTAGGAAACTCAGCTGCTGGGAAGCTTTGGGCAAATGCACAGCTTTTCTGACCCTTAGTTTCCTAGTTTATGAAACAGGGATTGGGACCAACAGATGGCAAAATGGTTACGACACTGGGTTCCCACATAGATGACCATGGTTCGCGTCCCAGACCTGGCGGCTTAAAATTCACACCAGGCACATGCGTGTCCATGCCCCAAATCCCAACAGACTGGAGGAGAAGGGACTGCAATGAGTCCATTCCCCCTGGGGGGGGTGAGTTCTCACTTTCTCTCTCTCTGGAATGTACATGTGCCTTATAGCAAAAATCTTTCTAAGGAAAAAAATGGCAATAAGTGTGCTGCCTCGTGAGGCCATCCTAAGGACAGCAGGAGATAACCCAAGGAAGCCTCCTGGCAGGGTGCCTGGCACATGCCCTATGTTTGGGAAATGTCCGTCTTCTTCCTTTTTTTCAACAGTTTCACATCGGGAAAGTGGATGCCCATGTAAGGCAGAGTCCTTCGGGAGGGAAACAAGGGATCCGGGCTCAGGAAGGTCCAGTGGCTGCGGCTACCTCTTACCACCAAACCTGGGCTACCTGCAAACTCCTGGCTCATTGCTTTTGGATACCAGGGTCCTCATCTCACCGCCCTCACCTCCCACCCATGCGCCAGTCAAACAAACTGTACATGCTGGTGCGCAGGGACATCAGCCACCTCAGACAAACTGCGCATGCGTCCACATGTGCACTGGGAGACCAGCCACCGCCAGACTTCCGAGCCACGTGGGCCATCTCTGTACTCCTCCCCAACCTCTTCCTAACGCTGACTTTCCTCCCCTGCCTCACACAGGTCCGCACCTATCCCATTATCTTGTCACTGTCAGTGCCTGGTCCTGTGGAGGCAGGATGCAGGCTCACATCTTGTGCAGCCAGAATGCAACCCCCAACCCTGTGTCCTACAGCTCCGACAGATCAGTGTGGGCACCCAGGAAGATGCTCCTTCTAGGGCTCCCGCTGGCACTCATGTCCAGACTCAGGTCTGTGTGTGTGCCCCAGCACCTCCATCAAGGCCAGGACAAGCCTCTTCCTTTTCCAGGTCCACCTTTCACTTCCTGCCTGGCCAGTGCCCAGTGCTAGATGGAAGCAGATCCCACTTCCCACTGGAAGACAGAGAAATTTGGGTTCTATAATACAGAGATCGACAAGAAATTTATGGAAAAATACGCACCATAAGAAAAAAAAAACACTACAGGGACCAGCAGTTAGCATAATGGCTATGTTGCTGAACTCCCATGTGTTCGACCACGGTTTGAGTCCCGGACTCGGTGGCTTAAACTTACACCGGGAACGTGTGCGTGCATGCCCAAGATCCCAAGAGGAGAATGGAGGAGAAGGAATTGCAGTGTGGCCATCCCCCACCATGGGATGATTTCTCACTTTCTGTCTCTCTCTCTCTCTCTGTGTCTCTCTTTCTGGTTAATGCACATAGCAAAAAAATAAAAGCAAAAACAAAAACAAAACAAAAAACAAACAAACAAAAAACCTCTTTAACAAAAAAAAAAAAGGAAAAGAAAAAACACTACACGGATTTCTGTACTCAAATAAACTCCGTCAGTAATTCCACTTGCCATGAACTTTCCGAAATCCCGTCCTTTGCTGAGAGCTCCCTACCATCATATCCTGTCATTACATCTTGTTTAATATCCACCACAAGAAACCCTGTTAAGAGTTCTCATTTTACAGATGAGGCACAAAAGGTGAAGTTAACTTTTGGGAGGTCCCAGCCTGAGATCCAGTCCCAGCCCCGCCTCCAGCCCCAGCGCCACGTGGCGACAGCCGGCCGGGTGGGGCTCACCTTTCTGGCCGCTATGCAGCGGAGCAGCTCGGCCTTGCTCCGGAGCAGCCCCTGGCCAGCCAACTCTCGCTCCTCCTCCACGCGGCTCTCCCGCTCCAGCTGCTGGAACTCCACGTCCTCAAAGAGCTTGGTCTCAGTCTCCAGCGCCTCTGCCTCCTTCAACGACAGTGACAAAAGGGGTTGGGTGATGTTAGGATGCTACCCTGGGCCTGGAAGGCCAGGCCACAGACGCTGCGTGGCGGGGGCTGGACCCGGGGTAACTGGGAAGGCACCTGCCCCTCCCACCCCCTGCTCTGCTCGGCTGTGCCCCTTCCATGGGCATCACGCCTAGAGCGCCGATCCCCCCAACCTGCCCGGTCCCCGCCAAGCACAGCACCGACCCTGGTGTCCGGCAGGTACTGCAGGGGCCAGGTGGTCCCGTCCCACCGTTCTCCTCTCTTCGTTCTGGGTGGGTGGCCCGCGGGGGCCGGGGAAAGGGGGGCTGGTGGAACTGACCCTTCTCAGCTGCTCCTGTAACTGTTCCCGCACTGACTCGGGGCAGTTATCGAGCTGCGTCTGGAGCTCGGCGTAGAGCGCCTGGCGGGCCTCCAGGTGCCTCCGTCCCGCGGCCAGCTCCGCCCTCTCCTGGTCGGCGGGAGGGCGAGGGGTGGGCGGGCACAGGGAGAGAGAACACACACTCCTCAACTCCGGCCCGCGGCGCGGTGGGGGGCGGCCGGGGGCAAGGGCAGAGACGGGATCAGCGTGAGGAGAGCACAACGCAGAACAGGGAAGTGCGGAGGGAGAGACGGCAGGGGTGGGTGAGCGGCAGGACCAGGGGCAGGAGGGTGGCCCAGGCACAGGTATGGGGGCAGGGCAGAAATGTTGGTCTCTCCGAGTCCCCAGAACTAGAACTGTTTGAGTAGGTCCTAAGAAAAGGACCCCAAACCTGCCCAGGCCCAAGCTGGTTCGGCATCACAAAAGCAGACTGGAGCTAGCCTTCTCCCCTCCTCCCCCTGCCCGCAGACCAAAATTTAACCCTGGGAGAAGGGACAGTGAAGGCGAAGGCTAAATCCAGGACCAGGTGTCAGTCAGGAGCTATGGGTGTTAAAGCTACAGCAGTGCAGGAAAGGGGACCCCCCCACACCCGACCCCCATGGCCTCCCTCCCCTCCTGCCCAGGGTGGGGGTGGGGTGCTGGCGCTTCAGACTGAACTTCAGGAGGGATAAGGGTTGCAATTAGTTTGGCCGTTGCCATGGTAATGGGAGTCCCCGGAGTGGGTACAGAGAGGAGGTGGATGGCTCTGTCTGGGGAGAGATGACACCTCCGAGGGCGGAAGGGGGATGAGGGGAGGAGTTGGTGAGTCACCCCTCCTGAAGGACAGGCAGAGGAGAAACTATGATTATGGAATCCAGAGCCAGAACAGGCCATAGGCTGGGGAGGGAAGCTGAGTGAACCTTCCCCACCAGGGCCACTGCCATCACTACCATCACCACCATCACCACCTTCACCACCTTCACCACCTTCACCACCCCAACCTCAAATAACCAGGCCCAGAGAGAAGGCCCAGACCAGGCAATTCCAGGCCAACAAGAAATGAGGTTAGGGAGAGTCCTTCTGAAATGCTGAGCTTCACCCCTGGAAGTAAGCCTACATGCTGAATCCTGCCTTCCTCACCTCCCTGCTCCACCCACCTAGCCAGTCATTCCCAAAGAGGAGACCCTGATCAGGCCAGTTCCTGGGTTCAGGCACTGCCCCATCCTGGGACTCAGCCTTTAAGATGTCCTGTGTTCTGTTAGCTCAGGGTGAGGGTCACCCATTCCCACTCTGACTGGGGTATGTGAACTTGGGAAGTACCAGGGAAAGCTAGGGAGAGTAACCACTGGGTTGGCAGGGAGACCTTGTCCAAGCCCTCCATGGCCACGCCCAGTGGACCTGCTCAACCCTGGGCTCCGGAGGGCAGGCAGAGGGCTGGATGAAGACAGTCTGCCTTCCCGGCCCTGCAGGAAGCTGCCAAAAGTCCCAAGAGGCAGCAGCTGGGCACGTCCGGTGGCAGAGCCCTTCAGTCTGAGCAGCTCCTCAGCCAAGACTGCCCCCACTCTTGCCAATGCCCCACTGAGTGAAGTTGAGTTGACCCTCCTGCCAATTCCTTTCCAATCAAAGCCTTGGGGTCCCACACCAAGAAAAGGAGGCAGCATCAGAGGGGAAAGACCAGGGTCACGGAGAGCCCTTGGAGTTAGTGCAAAAGCAGGCATGGCTCAACCTTGCCTGGGTGGCACTGGCAGTTAGGGGCATGCGGAGAGCCCGGGGCAGTGATTAGAGGGGCGTTAGTGCAGGCCTAGTTGGCAAGCATGGAGTTAATTTGGCACAGAATTTGGGAGTGTGGTTTTCCGGGCCAGAGCCAAAGCTCCAAAAAAAAAAAAAAAAAAAAAGTAAAAGAATTTTTAAGATCTTCAAAATTGAGGGCAGGAGGAAGACACTCTCAAAAAATCCAAAAAGAAAATTATTGGAAAAATACTGTCAAATCCAGAAATAGATGACCCCTCTCCACTTCAGAGTTTTTGGCACGTTGTTGGACATCTTGGGTGTGACTGGCACGGCCCATGTGGGTTGGAGCAGCCCCTGCAGGCTGGCACGAAATCTGAAAGGGGCGGGGGCAGGAGCTGGGACCATCTGGGATGGGAGGTTATAGATCCTGAAGGCTCAGGGGACACAGAAACCTGAGGGCCATCTCCCAGAGATTGCATCCTAAGACCTGGAGCATGCTGGGAAGATATTCTCCAGATGGGGGAGACCCAACCCCAAAACACTCCCCAGCACCAGTCCCTTGGGCTGTGCTCACTGTCCAAGGAGGGGCTTCGGCAATTTCTAGAAGGGCCATGAAGGGCCCACTATGGCAGGAACCCAGAAGTAGCACAGAGACCCAAACAGCAGAGCTCCCAGACACCAGCCCAGCCCCTAGCAGTGCCCTCCAAGCTGGTACCTTCCAAAGAGGACAGGGCCCCATCTCTGGAGGGCCACAGAGACCACCTGGTCTGCAGGATGGATGATGGGGTGAGGGATATAGGGCTGCAGAGAAGGCATTTTTCCTTCCCTCCTGGGCCACAGGCACCCAGCACTGGGCCACGCCAGGTGTGGGTTACCTTGTCCCTCTCCTTCTGAATACTGGTCTCCAGGGCCACCAGCTTCTCCTGCAGCTGGTCCACCGCCTTCTGCTCCTTCTGCAGCAGCGCCCGCTCTGCCTCCCTCTCGCCCTGCAGCAGCGCTCGCTCCATTTCAACCTGGGGGCAGACACCAGGGTCTTGGTCAAGCCCATCTCGGGAGGGTTGTACTGCTCAGAGGAGTCCAGCGGGCACCCTCACTCTTACCTCTCGGGCTGACTCCTGCAGCTGCTGCTCCAGCTCCTTCACCCGGGCCTTGAGCTGCTCCACGCGCCCCAGCACCTGAGTCCGCTCCTCCTCCAGGGCTAGCAGTTCTCCCTGCAGCTTGGGGCCAGGTGCATCTTCGTGCTGGAGGGGAGGCAGCATCAGCCCAGGAAGCCAAGAGCCTTCCGGGGTCAGACTAAGAGAAGTCCCCTGTTCCTCAGGGAACTTGGAGGGTAGCTCAACAGAGACAGGAGGCTGACTCCTCCCTGCCAGGAGCCCTAGGACTCAGCTACAGGGAATAAAGATTAACCTGAGTGCCAGGCCTGGGTGGGTCCCGAGGGAAGGCAGCCATGAAGGTTTATAGCTTGGGAACTCGCCAGAGCCTCCCTTTTATACTTCTAGTCTCAGGACATTTCCCAAACTTGGCCCCCTCTCCAACCCTGGCGTTCACCACCTGCCCCTGCCAGCCTGGCCCTCGGCCCCCCTGCCCACCTCCTGATGCGTGCTCTCTGTGCTACTGCACTCCTCCTTGAGATTCTCCTCATCTGAGCGTTCCACACACTCCCACAGGCGTTGGGTGGCACCTCCAGGCTCCTCACTGCTCCGCCCAGCAGCCCCCATGGCCCCAGCAAGGCCTCGGGAGGGTCTCTGGCTGGCCAGCGCCAATGCCGCCGTGGCCTCCCCAATGCTGGGCAGCTCCCCGGCCTCAGGGCCCCCATCAGCCCGGCTGTACTCGGCACACAGGTTCAGGATGGTCTCCAGGCGCTGGCGTTCCTGGGGGAGACAGAGCAGGACGTGAGGGGAGAGGACCGAGCCCTGAAGTGTCAGTAGGGACTTGGGGCACAGGAGAGCCCCAACCCCAAGGTCTAGGGGAGGCAGAGGGGAAAAGGGGTCCCAGAAGTGGACAGGAGGATCCAGGCTGTCATGCCACCTGGCCATGTGGCTGGCCCCTCCCATCTTCCTGTTTCCTTTCCCTTCGATCTCCGGATGGGGCCTCTTTGTGGACACACCCCACACACTGGGAACATACCTGAGTAGGAGGGTGTGCATGTGACACAGACATGCACAGATGAGACCCAGGACACACAGACACACAGATCCACAGACAGGGTGAGGGGACACACTGATGCACCAGGGGCACACATGTGCACTGGCCCCGAATTCTCAGACAGGTGCATAGACACCAACCCTAATGCGCAGGCAAGCACAGGCGCACACCCCAGGCGCACACCTGTGAGTAACATTCTAGTTCCCAGATGGGTGGGCACCTGCATAGGTGCGGGAGGGACCAGGTGCCAGGCCAGACCTGGGACAGGGCCCTTCTGGTCCCCACCTCAGCTCCAAGTCATCCTCAGGCAGCCCTGGACACTCTAACAGCAGGGCGGGCCGCCGCCAGTCCCTGAATGCCAGCCCTGGGGGTGAGTGCTCATGGCCTACCACCTAATTTGTCCCCTCCCCGTGCACCACCACCCCACCTCACCCTGTCACCAGCCAGGGGCCTCCAAGGTACCTGCGGCCTCTCCTCCTAGGAGAGGAGAAAGACCATGTTTGGGAAAGTCCAGAGACAGGTATAAAAATGAGAGGGCCAGGGCCCTCTGCCTCACACCCCAGCCCTGGAGCCTGGCCCAAGGCTCCTGTGGCTCTCTAGGATCCCGCACCTCCTCCCCGGGTGTCTCTCCGCACCTAGATCGGCCATGACTCCACTCACCCAGCTTCCCTCCTGCTGCCTGCCCAGTTCCATGGCAAAAAAAAAAACCAGGAACAGCCTCAGCACTCCGGAGGCTGGGCTAGTGGCCCACCCCCGCCCCAGGTCCCAGATAAGCAGCCTGGGTGAGGTGGGTGGGGCGGGGCAGGCAGCCTCTGAGACTTAAAGTGGCAGGTGGGGCAAGTCAGGGCCAGTGGTGAGGTGTGCACGTGTGTGGGTTGGGGTGGGGGAGCTGAGTGCGGGTGGGTGAGGCTGGACCCCCAACCCTGCGTGGGCCAGGCTCCCCCCGGCCCTGTCAAGCGGAGCGCC